GGAGGTTTCAGCCGAAGCGAAACATGAGAAAGGACTTTCCCATATACTGAATGTAGGCGAAGCTCCTCTCGTGATGTTCGAAGTGGCTAAAAAATAAAAGAGACATATGAGAAAGAGAGAGAGAATGGGAAATGGCACACAGTAGCCTTTCAAATCATCGCACTTAGAATTGGGCAGAACGTAGTGGTTTGGTAGGACCAAATCAGGAATACCTACAAAAGTACGGATGCTTATGAAGTGATAAAATTCATAAATTTTAGCGAAAACACCTACCTATCTAGGCGAGTAATTGGCGTCGCAAGTCAGCCTAAATCGACCCCAGGTTTGAGAAGGACCTGAGGTAAATATCTGGACTACTTTGGTTAATGAGCGGCAGGCAGCCTGATGCTCTATCAAGTTAACGATAGGCTCGTTAAAAAAGGTCATCCTTTATCACATGTATGGGTATATAGTCACCCGGTCAAATATAGCTTCGAACACAGTTATTGACTTTTCGTGCTATAAGTCTCACAATACATGACAGGGGTCACGAAGAGACATTGAATAAAGAGAAAAATTCGACCAGGTTGATCAGCGATTAGGAAAAGGAGGACTTAATCTATATAGGTTACTTTCCTTGAGAGAATTTTAGCCCAGCTTACCCTCGGGTTATATATATGCAGGGCGGAGTACTAAGTAATCAAGGCGATATAGACATTACCTTTTTGGCCATTATCGTCGACAATTCATAATAAATTCAATGTTTTCCTACCTTTGCTAATACGCCCTTGCATCTCTATCAGGAGCATCGATAGCTCTTTACTAGCCGCAACTATGCTAAGGCCTTGTTGGTTAACAGTAAATGATGTGTTCCTTTTCCGGCCTTGGATACCCTCTTCTGTCTGATACAATACAATGGGCTGTATACTACCCGATTCTGGTCTTTCATTCACCACTGCGAGCATCGATAGACTCTTCCAGTGCGATGAGGCCAATCTGTTCAACAACGAATTATTTGGAGTAGGAATCTAATACAAGTAGGCTTATCAGCAGTTCGCAAATGACAACTATATATTCGAC